TCAGCCTCCCAAAGTGCTGGGATTATAGGTGTGAGCCACCACGCCTGGCCAGTACATGGATTTTTTTAGGGGATTGATGCAACTCTTGGCCGAAGGTGTTCATAATCTACCCAGCAATGTCCCCAGGTCCTAGTCTGTGGTTCTCCAGGAAAACAAAGCAGCAATTTCCCACCCTTCCTGTCAGCTCGAAAACCACGTGGAAAATGCAATCAGAGAAAAAGGCATTGGTGTGACTAAGGAGGAAAACACTTTCTCTCTCTAGAAGCTGGGGCAGTTCTGGGATGGTGCCAGGGGCTTTTCTTAATTAAAGCATTTCTTTAGGGAATGTTCTGATACTTTTCCTAAGTGTCAGCAGAGGCTGGGAGGAAACAAAGGCTATGGAGTTCAGGCGTACCTGGTTTCCCAGGAATTCCGCATAGTCCTGCTACATTTTGCTTTCTGGAACGAAGCCAACAGTCTGGCCACAGCTGAACCATCTCATGTTTGAATGAAAGTGGAGATTTGAGAAAAAAGTGAAGGAGGGGAGAAGACCACCTTTTACTGACCACCCCTATCTGTGCTAAGCCCTGTGCTCAGGTCTTTGGATAGTTTCATTTATTCCTCAGCATAAATGTTAAGGGATTATCTTTTTTTAAATTTTTCTATAAGGTAAAATCAAAGCCCAAGAAGATTAGGTCTCACCAAAAATCACATAATTCTTGCCTAACAAAGATGAGCAAATAAAAGAAAGAAAAATAACAAATTCTTTTTTTTTTTTTTTTTTTTTTTTTTGAGACAGAGTCTCACTCTGTCGCCCAGGCTGGAATGCAGTGGCACGATCTCGGCTCACTGAAACCTCCACCTCCTGGATTCAAGCAATAATCCTGCCTCAGCCTCCCAAGTAGCTGGGACTAAGGTGCCCTCCACCATGACTGGCTAATTTTTGTATTTTTAGTAGACATGGGTTTTCACCATGTTGGCCAGGCTGGTCTTGAACTCATGACCTCAGGTGATCCACCCACCTCGGCCTTCCAAAGTGCTGGGATTACAAGTGTTAGCCACCATGCCCCGCACAAAATCAGATAATTCTTAAGTGTTGGTGACAGAATTCCAACCAATCTCAGCTTCTCTCCATAAAGCACACATTTTCTCCAGCACTAGTGCAGTGATTAAGAGTAAGGCTTGCAGGAGGGATAGTATTAGGAGAAATACCTAATATAGACGATGGGTTGATGGGTGTAGCAAACCACCATGGCACATGTTTACCTATGTAACAAACCTGCACATTCTGCACATGTACCCCAGAATTTAAAGTATAATAATAATTTTTTAAAAATCTAAAAATAAAGAGTAAGGCTTGGGACCAGGCGCTCATATCTGTAATTCCAACACTTTGAGAGGCCAAGGTGGGTGGATCACCCACCAGGAATTTGAGACCAGCCTGGCCAACGTGGTGAAAAAACCCTGTCTCTACTAAAAATACAAAAATTAGCTGGGCATGGTGGTAGGCGCCTGTAATCCCAGCTACTTAGGAGGCTGAGGCACAACAATTGCTTGAGCTTGGGAGATGGAGGTTGTAGCTAGGTAAGATTGCGCCACTGCACTCCAGCCTGGGCAACAGAGTGAAAAAAAAAAAAAAAAAAAAAAAAAAAAAAAAGAGTAAGGCTTGGGAGCCTGGCCTGGTATGAACTCTGCTAAACCTGTTTCCTCACCTATAAAATTAAGGCTTGTTGGCAGGGCGTGGTGGCTCACACCTGTAATCCCAGCACTTTGGGAAGTCGAGGTGGGTGGGTCACCTGAGGTCAGGAGTTTGAGAGCAGCCTGATCAATATGGTGCAACCCTCTCTCTACCTAAAATACAAAAAATAGCCAGGCATGGTGGTGCATGCCTGTAATCCCAGCTACTCAGGAGGCTGAGGCAGGAGAATTGCTTGAGTCCAGGAGGCAGAAGTTGCAGTGAGCCGAGATTGTGCTATTGCACTCCAGCCTAGGCAACAACAGCAAAACTCCGTCTAAAAAAAAAAAAAATTTAGGCTTGTCGTAGAATCTACCATAGAGGTTCTCATGAAGGAAAAAATGTTTGAAAAACGCTTGGCATGTGCCTTGCACATAAAAAGCCCCCAATGATGTTAGTTATTATTGTCCTTGAACTACATCATGAGGCATTATGGCTCAGAATATGCACGGGGATAGGAGTTGGTAGATTTAGCATATTAATTAGGATGCAGGATAAAAAAATGCTGTGAAAGTTACGGATGGGCACCATGGCTCATCCTTATAATCCCAGTGTTGTGGGAGGCCGAGGCGGGTGGATTGCTTGAGCTCATGAGTTTGTTTGTTTTTGTTTTTTTTGAGATGAAGTCTTGCTCTTGTTGTCCAGGCTGGAGTGCAGTGGCATGGTCTCAGCTCACTGCAACTCCACTTCCCAGGTTCAAGTGATTCTCTTGCCTCAGCCTCCTGAGTAGCTGAGATTACAGGCACCCGCCATCATGCCTGGCTAATTTTTGTATTTTTTTTTTTTAAGTAGAGACAGGGTTTCACCACGTTGGCCAGGCTGGTCTCGAACTCCTGACCTCAGGTGATCCACCCATCTCGGCCTTCCAAAGTGGTGAAATTACAGGTGTGAGCCACTGCACCCAGCTGAACTCACGAGTTTGAAACCAGACTGCGTAACATAGCAAAACCCCACTTCTACAAAAGAAGACACACACACACAAATTAGCTGGCATGGTGGTGTGCGCCTGTAGCCCCGGTTACCCTGGAGGCTGAGATGAGAGGATCGCTTGAACCTGGGAGGCAGAGGTTGCAGTGAGTCAAGATGGCACCACTGTGCTCCAGCCTGGGGGATAGAGCCAAAACTTGTCTCAAAAAAAGAAAAAAACACAAAAAGTTGATGAGTTAAAAATAATGATAATAGGACACAGGCTGAGTCACTATGGTAGTTTGAAAATATGTCCACACATTCTTTGATAGTCCTCCCTTTAGAAGGTGGAGCCTAGTTCTCACCCCCTTGAGCTTGGGCAGGGTTTGGTGACTCTTTTTAAAAAAAGAAATTTATTTTAATTTTTTAATTTTTTTTTTTTTTTTTTTTTTTGAGATGGAGTTTCGTTCTTGTTGCCCAGGCTGGAGTGCAATGGTGTGATCTCGGCTCACTGCAACCTCCACCTCCTGGGTTCAAGCGATTCTCCTGCCTTAGCCTCCCAAGTAGCTGGCCACCAGGCCCAGCTAATTTTGTGTTTTTAGTAGACATGGGGTTTCTCTATTTTGGTCAGGTTGATCTTGGACTCCTGACCTCAGGTGATCTGCCTGCCTCAGCCTCCCAAAGTGCTGAGATTATAGGCATGAGCCATGGCGCCCGGCTGTATTTTTTTTTCTTTCTTGAAACAGCGTCTTGCTCTGTCTCCCAGGCTGGAGTGCAGTGGCTCAATTCTAGTTCACTGCTTCCTCCAACTTCGGGGTTCAAGCAATCCTCCCACCTCAGGCTCCCGAGTAGCTAGGACTACAGGTGTGCACCACCATGCCTGGCTGTTTATTTTGTTTTGTTTTTTTTGGTAGAGATAGGGTCTTGCTATGTTGCCCAGCTGGTCTTGAACTCCTGGCCTCCCACCTTGGCCTCCCAAGGTGCTGGGATTACAGAGAACTTGGTGACTCTTCTAGCAAATAGAATGAACGGGAGGTGACAATGCTTGACTTGGGACTGGAGACTGGGCTATAAAAATGCACTGCAGTTTCCTTCTAGGCCACTCCTTATTTCTGGTCATTTGCTCTGGGGGAAGCCAAGAACTGCCTCACAAAGACACTCACCTGTGGAGAAGCCATGTGATGAGGAGCTGAAGTCTCTGACAACAGCCAGTGTGGATGAACGTGGGAGTGAATATTCTAGTCTTGAGCTAGCAGTTCTGGATGGCTGTGGTCCCCGCCAATACTCTGGCTGCGGCCTCAGAAGGGATCCTGAGGCAGCTGAGCTGCTCCTGAGTTCCTAACCCACAGAAACTATGAGACAAGAAATGTTTTTAAATGTTTTTAATTTTAATTATATGATTTATATTTTTGAGACAGACTCTCACTCTGTTGCCCAGGCTGGAGTGCAGGGGCTCAATCTCAGCTCACTGAAACTTCTGCCTCCTGGGTTCAAATGATTCTCATGTCTCAGCTTCCCAGCTAGCTAGGACTACAGGCATGCACCACCACGCCAGGCTAATTTTTGTATTTTTAGTAAAGACAGGGTTTCACCATGTTGGCCAGGCTGGTCTTGAACTCCTGGCCTCAAATGATCAACCAGTCTCGGCCTCCCAAAGTGCTGGAATTACAGATGTGAGGCACCACACCAGGCCTAATTTTTATTTATTTATTTATTTATTTTTGATATGGAGTCTCGCTCTGTTGCCCAGGCTGGAATGCAGTGGCATGATCTGGGCTCACTACAACCTCCACCTCCCAGGCTCAAGCGATTCTCCTACCTCAGCCTCCCGAGTAACTGGCATTATGGCATTACAGGCACCCACCACCTCACTTGGCTAATTTTTGTATTTTTATTAGGGACAGGATTTCACCATGTAGGCCAGGCTGGTCTCGAACTCCTGACCTCAGGTGATTCGCCTGCCTCGGCCTCCCAAAGTGCTGGGATTACAGGTGTGAGCCCCTGTGCCTGGCCAATTTTTATTTTTAAGACAAGGTCTCACTTTGTTACCCAGACTGGAGTGTACTGGTGTGATCATAGCTCACCGCAACCTTAAATTCCTGGGCTTGACAAACATTCTGCCTCAGCCTCCTGAGTAGCTAGGACTGCAGGTGCAAGCCACTATGCCCAGCTAATTATTAATTAATTAATTTATTTTTTTTGAAGGGATGGGTTCTTGTTATGTTGCCCAGGCTGGCATTGAACTTCTGGCCTCAAGTGATCCTCCTGCCTGGGCCTCCCATGTTTGTTGTTTCAAGCTCCTGAGTTGTGGGGTAATTTGTTACTAAGCAATTGATAAATGATACAGCTACTGTAACAAAGAGACATAAAAATACCAGAGTGTTCCAACAATCCAGTTTATTTCTGTCTCGTAAATATTCCAAAGAAAGTAGAAAGTGCAGGGCAAGGAGGTGGTTCTGATTTACAAAGCCTTCGGGAGATCCAGGTTAATTTTCTATGTGGGTGTGTCCTGAGATGCGTCCCTTGTTCATAAGGTCTTGTCTGGCTCAACAGTTAGATATCTTATGTTCCAACCCAAAGGAAGGATACTAAAGAGTGAAGAAACGACATTTTCCTTATAAGAAACAGAGCATTATTTTTATTCACGTTGCTGAGAACTTAGTCACTGCAAAGGAGGCTGTGGACTGTGGTCTCTAGCCCAATAGTTATGTATCTGGTTAAAGCCTGGGGCAGGTGTTTCAATAAAAGGAAGAAGGGGAGAATGGAATCTGACGGATGTCTAGAAATTTCTCCATACTTGAGTCCTGGTTTGGTTACTTTCTCTGTGACTTCCAGTTATTTACCTCTGTATCTCAGTTTTCTCATTTATAAAGTGAAGAATAAGATTGATTTTTGATTTTTTTTTTTTTTTGGTAGCTTAACCTTTTCCCTCCCTCCCTCTCTCCCTTCCTTCCTTCTTTCCTTCCTTCATTCTTTCTTTCGATGGAGTTTTGCTGTTGTTGCCCAGGCTGGAGTGCAATGCCGCCATCTTGGTTCACTGCAACCTCTGCCTCCCAGGTTCAAGTGATTCTCCTGCCTCAGTCTCCCTAGTAGCTGGGATTAGAGGCGCCCACCACCATGCCCGACTAATTTTTGTATTTGTAGTAGACACGATGTTGGCCAGGCTGGTCTTGAACTCCTGACCTCAGGCGATCCACCGGCCTCGACCTCCCAAAGTGCTGGGATTACAGGAGTGAGCCACCGTGCCCAACCAGCTTAACCTTTTTTTTTTTTCTTTTTTTTTGAGATGGAGTCTCACTCTGTTGCACAGGCTGGAATGCAGTGGTGAGATCTTGGCGCACTGCAGCCTCCACCTCCCTGGTTCAAGCGATTCTCTTGCCTCAGCCTCCCAAGTAGCTGGGATTATAGGTGTCCACCACCATGCCCAGCTAATTATTATTATTATTATTATTATTATTATTATTATTATTTTAAGTAGGGACGGTGTTTCACCGTGTTGACTAGGTTTCTTGAGCTTCTGATCTCAAGTGATCTGCCCACCTTGGCCTCCCAAAGAGCTGGGATTACAGGTGTGAGCCACTACACATGGCCCGTAGCTTAGTCTTTTAATGCAGTCATTTTTTTAAAAAGAGATGGGGTCTCACCATGTTGTCCAGGTGGGAATGCAGTGGCTATTCACAGGCATGATCCCACTACTGATCAGCACAGGAGTTTTGACGTGCTCCGTTTCTGACCTGGGTGGGTTCATCCCTCTTTAGGCAACCTGATAACCCTCAACTCCCGGGAGGTCACCATATTGATGCCAAATTCAGTGTAGACATTTAATTGGCATAGGGCACTGCAGCCTAGAACTCTTGGGCTCAAGCAATCCTCCTGCCTCAGCCACCTGAGTAGCTGGGACACAGGCATGGGCCACTGCACCCGGTTCATGTGCAGTAACATACTTAATTTAATTAATTAATTAATTAAAATATTTAATTGAGGTGAAATGTACAAACCGTAATATAAAAATGAAAATATCCGGCATGGTGGCTCATGCCTGTAATCCCAGCACTTTGGGAGGTTGAGGCAGAAGGATGGCTTGAGCCAGGAGTTTGAGACCAGATTGGGCAACTTGGTGAGATCCCATCTCTACAAAAATAAAAGCATTAGCTGGGTTTGACAGTGAGCACGTGTAGTCCCAGCTCCTTGGGAGTCTGAGGCAGGAAGGTTGCTTGAGCCGGGGAGGTCAAGGCTACAGTCAGCTTTGATCATATCACTGCACTCCCATTCCAGCCGCAGTGACAAAGTGAGACTGTGTCTCTAAAATAATTTTAAAAATGTAAAAAAATAAAAATAGAGCTGCTTTGTTTGAATCATAGTGGGATTTCTCTCTTTGTCCCCCTTCCACATCAGTGGCCCCGTTGAAAGTTATTTAAAATACTAGGGCTCTGCCAAGCATAGTCCGAAAATCACCAAACTAGGAGTTCTCCTGGATTCCTTCCAGTTCTGGTATTTTTGAAGTTGTCATTCACCTTTGTGCCTGAACTGGTTTGGATCACAGCCTTGTCTTGCTTGGCTGCTGTGAGCTTTTTGTACCTGGCATGCATTGGCTGAGGAAAATGCCCTGGCCGTCCAGCCTCACGTCACTTCCTTTCACCCCTCATGAGGAAGGGGCATACCTCTCCTTTCTCCTAATGCAAGGGAGGGTCCCCTTCCTCCCGGGACCAGGGGTCAAAGTGTGGTGGGGCTGAGATGGAATGCTGTGGGCTGCCAGTATGCGTCCCCCCACCGACCTCTGCGCTGCACCCCTCTCCTGGTGTTGGACTTGCAGATTGTTGGAGCGGACTCTGCCTCTCTCCCCTGGTTAATGTTTTTACTCACCCTCTGGCCTTGTCCTCTTGTAGGCTGCCATTGGTGTGGACTGGAATCAAGAGCTCAGGCTCCGTCAAGGTTATAGACTGAGGATGTGAGTTTACCCAGCCCCAACTCAGTTTGTGAGTAAACTCCAGGGGCCAGAGAGGAGGGGCCTGAATTCATCTCGGTATCTCTCCAGAACACAAACTGCTCCAGAGAAAGTTAACCAGGAGGAGCGGGCATTTGGCCTTTTCCTGGGCAGACCTTCAGAAAGAAGCCTGCCTGGGAACTGATAAACACATCTCCCTCTCTGGTTCCCAAGGACAGGGCTTGGCCTCTATCCACTTGTTTCCAAATTTCCTTCCTGAGTGGCCTGCCTGTGTTAGCTACCTTCTCCCAAGCTGGCTCCAGTTGCTGGGTGGGAATCCGGCTGGGGGCTTAAGTGTCTGCTGTCTCAGGGAAAACAACATCTTAGGCCATTCTGAAGGCCAGCAGCCACTGCCCAAAAACTAAGAACATTCCCAAAATGGCTGGGAGAGGAGTGGGGATTGGGAGAAAAAGATGAGTCCAGCCGGAATAACGGAGTGAGACTCCATCTCATCTTTTTTTTTTTTTTGAGATGGAGTCTCACTCCGTTGTCCAGGTTGGAGTGAAGTGGTGTGATTTTGGCTCACTGCAAGCTCTGCCTCCTGGGTTCAAGTGATTCTCATGCCTCAGCCTCCCAAGTAGCTGGGACTAAAGGTGTGTGCCACTATGCCTGGCTAATTTTTGTATTTTTAGTAGAAATGGGGTTTCACTATGTTGGCCAGGCTGGGCTTGAACTACTGACCTCAGGTGATCTGCCCACCTTGGCCTCCCAAAGAGCTGGGATTACAGGGTGAACCACTTCGCCTGGACTAGCTTGAGTTCTTAAGATGAAGAACTCAGATGAATTCTTAAGATGAATACTTTTTTTTTTTTTTTGAGACAGGATCTTGCTTTGTCACCCAGCTTGGAGTGCAGAGGCTTGATCACAGCTCACTGCAACCTCCAACTCCTAGGCTTATGCCATCCTCCTGCCTCAGATTCCCAAGTAGCTGGGACTACAGGCATACACCACCACACCTGCCAATTTTTGTTTTTTGTAGAGACAAGAGTCTCTCTTTGTTTCCCAGGCTGGTCTTGAACTCCTGGCCTCAAGTGATCCTCTTGCCTTGGCCTCCCAAAGTGCTGGGAGTACAGGTACGAGCCACAACACCTGGCCTCCCTTTCAACTTTTTAAGAGAAACCAGAACCCGAAATTTCATGTCAAGTTTTCTAGTATTGAAGCAGTGTACAGAAAACAAAACACCCTCTTCTGTAGGCTTTGTTCTTGGGCTTTTCGTTTGCACCCCCTGGTTTAAAGCCTTTGTGAGATACATCCTTCTCCGTGTACTTTTGCTTCACCAATGACCAATTTCTCAAATGATGTTAGAGATGAGTTTTGTCGTTTGTAATCAGTGGCTAGATTTCTGTGGAGAAAGGTCTTCATAGTTAGTCAAGGGGCTTATTAGATCCCTATTGCTGCTGTAGTAAATAACCACAAACTTAATGGCTTAAAGGACACAAATTTATTCTCTTATTTATTCTCTCTATTGCTGCTGTAGTAAATAACCACAGACTTAATGGCTTAAAGGACACAAATTTATTCTCTTAGGTAGGTAGGTCAGAAGTCTGACACAGATCTCATTGGGCTAAAATCAAGCCTGTCGGTAGGGCTGTGTTGATGAAGAGTCAAACTCTGTAAAATACTTAAAGAGGTTTATTCTGAGCCAAATATGAATGACCATGGTCAAAGGGACAGTCTCAAGAGGTCCTGAGAATATGTGCCCAAGGTCATTGGGTTACAGCTTGGATTTATACAGACATAAGACATCAATTAGTATGTGTGAGGTACACATTGGTTCAGTCTGGAAAGGCAGGACAACCCAAAGCAGGTCTTACAGGTCACATATGGATTCAAGGATTTTATGATTGGCAATTGGTTGAAAGAGTTATTATCTAAAGACCTGGAATCAATAGAAAGTGGTGTCTGAGTATAGGTAAGGGTGTGCAGAGATGAGAGTTCTTATTATGTAGATGAAGTCTCATAGGTGGCTGCCCTTAGAGATAATAAATGGCAAATGTTTCCTATTTAGACCTTTAAAAGATGCTACACTCCAGCTAATCTCTTCAGGATTAGGAGGGTCTGGAAGAGGAAAGATCTAGCTAATACAGATGATTATTATTATTAATTATTCTTTTGAGACCTCACCTCACTCTGTTGACCAGGCTGGAGTATAGTGGCACAATTTTGGCTCACTGCAACCTCTGCCTCCCAGGTTCAAGCAATCCTCCCACTTCAGCCTCCCAACTACCTGGGACTACAGGTATGCACCATCATGCCTGGCTAATTTTTGTATTTTTTGTCTTCCTATACTTCCCAGGCCGGTCTCGAACTCCTAGGCTCAAACAATCTGCCTGCCTTGGCCTCCCAAAGTGCTAAGATTACAGATGTGAGCCTCCGCACCTGACGATTTCCTTCTTTGCCTTTCATATGTTGTTGTGCCAGAGTCAGGTTGGAAAGTAAGCCACGTTATAAGGGTTAAATAAAACCCATCTGATGAGATTTTACGATTTGTAGAAGGTGCATCCTGGGGCCCCTTAGAAAGGAATTTGGGGCTGGGTATGGTGGCTCACGCCTGTGATCTCAGCACTTTGGAAAGTCGAGGCAGGTGGATCACTTGAGGTCACGAGTTCGTGATCAGCCTGGCCAACATAGTGAAACCCCGTCTCTACTAAAAATACAAAAAATTAGCTGGGCATGGTGGTACATGGTAGCCTGTGCCTGTAGTCTACGCTACTCAAGTGGCTGAGGTACAATAATCACTTGAAACCGGGAGCTGGAGGTTGCAGTGAGCCCAGATCGTGCCACTGCACTACAGCCTGGGTGACAGAGCAAGACTCCATCTCAAAAAAAAAAAAAAGAAAGGAATTTGGGCAAGAGAGGAAAAAGGCCAGAGTTTAGACCTCAGCTATGTTCGTTTCTGGAGGATGGAGGGAAGAATCCACTTTTTTGCCTTTTCCAGTTTCTAAAGGCCACCCACATTCCTTAGTTTATGCCCCTCTTCTTTTTCATTAAATAATTCATTTTTAATAGCTGAATAGTATTCCATTGCACAACATTTTCTTTTTTTTCATAGAGACAGGGTCTCGCCATGTTGCCTAGGCTGGTCTTGAACTCCTGGGCTCAAGCCATCCACCTGCCTCAGGCTCCCAGTGTGCTGGGATTATGTGTGTGAACCACTGCCCCTCTTCTTCATCAAAGCCAGCAAATGGGGCCTAGGTGAGCCTAGGTGGCTCACATCTGTAATCCTAGCATTTTGGGAAGCCAAGGCAGACAGATCGTTTGAGCCTAGGTGCTGGGATTAACGTGTGTGAGCCACTGCCCATCTTCTTCGTCAAAGCCAGCAAATGGGGGTCCAGTCCTTCTCATATCAAACCTCTCACCACAGAACAGGTTCACCACTTTTTAATTTTAATTTTAATTTTTTTATAGAGACAGGGTCTTGGTCTGTTGCCCAGGCTGGAGTGCAGTGGCAGGATCATAGATCACAGCAGTCTCGAATTCCTGGGCTCAAGTGATCCTCCCACCTCAGCCTTGGGAGGCAAGACCCATCTCTACAAACAAATAAAAATTTTAAAAATTAGCCAGGCATGGTTTTAACCTAGCTAATTTTTAAAACCATGTCTGGCTAATTTTTAAAATTTTTATTTGTTTGTTTGTAGAGATGCCTGGGCTGGTCTCAGACTCCTGGCCTCAAGCTGGCCTCGTGCCTTGGCCTCCCAAAGTGATAGGATTACAGGTGTGAACCACTGTGCCCAGCTGGTTCTCTGTTTTTAAGGATGCCTGTGATTGGGCCCACTCAGATACTCCAGGGTAATATCCTCATCTCAAGATCGTCATTTTAATCAAAGGCAAAGTCCCTGTGGTCAGGCAAGGGGACATATTCACAAGTTCTAGGAATTTGGGTGTGTATAGGCTTTCTCATAAACTTTTGAATCTCTTGCCTCTTGATCCCACCCAAAAAATAGTAATAGGAACAGAAACTTATGATGAACAGGCTTTATCTTTCCTTATAACCTGGACCATTCTTATTCTATTCAGTCCTCCTTTGCTTTAAGGGATCCGTTTCTAGCAGGGCCCTTTGGTGCAGCAATGTTGAATCCACTATAGCCAGCAAAATTCTGAGCTGCCTACCTGTGTATTTCCAGCTCCATCTGCCACACTGGGGCTCAGAATCAGTTTTCCCTTAGCTACATCCCTGTGGAATTTCCCAGCTGAGATTAGTTACAGGGGTGAAGGACTGGGCAAACATCCCCCACCTCCCCAGAGAAAGCAAAGGCTCCACGGGTCTGCTCAAGGATTTGAGTGAACATTGCAGAGTTGGTGGCTGGAGGTGATAAGGGAAAAAGGGATAGGATGACAAGATTGACTTTGATCTCAATTTTGGAGCGTTAAGGCTCCATGGGCTGGAAGCACAGGCTGAACACAAGAGCACATTTATTCCTATTAATGCTCTGGTCCTTTGTTTGGGGTCAAATGATTAACTGCCCAAGAGCAGGATCGGGGAGGCTGACTGGGTTTTTAGTATTGGTTTTGGAGGTGGGAGTGAAACTCATTTGTGACAGGTGTCACTCTTGGCCCCCCCGAAGGATAGGACTGATTCTACCTACGTGACACCCAGGCTGTGGCCTCCCAGTTCTCTCCCTTGAACTACATAGATCCCTCTAGAAGAGTGGCAATCTCTAGAAAAGATAGGGAAATCTTCAGTCACTTGATATCTCCAGTTGTAAACTCTCAGAGCTAGTAAGAGTGGGACTTCCCAGTCTGAAGTCTCAGTAGCAAGTCCTCTTCTCCCTCCCCCAATACACACACACACACACACACACACACACACCACATACAACTTGAGATGGCGGAGTTGAAGGCAAAGCACAGTAGGATGATGTTTTATATAGATAGATAGATTCTGGAGCCCAGAACCCAAGTATAAATCCTAGCTTTTCTATTTACTGTTTGTGTGTCCTTGTGTTTCCTCGGCAAGTATAAATCCTGGCTTTTCTATTTACTGTTTGTGTGTCCTTGGGTAAATTAGGTAACCTCAATCTGCCCATTCCTAAGCAATTGCAATTATACCTACTTCACAGGGCTTTTATGAGGATTAAATGAGTTGGTATCTATAAAGACAGAAGACAGTTTGCTCAGAATGATGGTTTCTAGCTTAATCCAGTCTGTCATTGATGGACATTTGGGTTGGTTCCAAGTCTTTGCTATTGTGAATAGTGCTGCAATAAACATATGTGTGCATGTGTCTTTATAGCAGCATGATTTATAATCCTTTGGGTGTATGCCCAGTAATGGGATGGCTGGTCAAATAGTATTTCTAGTTCTAGATCCTTGAGGAATCGCCACACTG